TTTTCTAAATGTATGTAAAGCTATTTTTGTATCAAATCATGGGTATTAGCCTCGTCTGTCAATCCACCTGGTTATAGTATGGGAGTATTGACAGACGAGGCTAGTACCTAGTTATAGTATGGGTGTATTGATAGACGAGGCTAGTACCTGGTTATAGTATGGGTGTATTGATAGACGAGGTTATTACCTGGTTATAGTATGGGTGTATTGATAGACGAGGTTAGTACCTGGTTATAGTATGGGTGTATTGATAGACGAGGCTAGAACCTGGTTATAGTATGGGTGTATTGACAGACGAGGCTAGTCCCTGGTTATAGTATGGGTGTATTGACAGACGAGGCGAGTACCTGGTTATAGTATGGGTGTATTGACAGACGCGGCTAGTACCTGGTTATAGTATGGGTGTATTTATAGACGAGGTTATTACCTGGTTATAGTATGGGGGTATTGATAGACGAGGCTAGTACCTGGTTATAGGATGGGTGTATTGACAGACGAGGCTAGTACTTGGTTATAGTATGGGGGTATTGATAGACGAGGCTAGTACCTGGTTATAGTATGGTTGTATTGACAGACGAGGCTAGTGCTTGGTTATAGTATGGGTGTATTGATAGACGAGGCTAGTACCTAGTTATAGTATGAGTGTATTGACAGACGAGGCTAGTACCTGGTTATAGCATGGGTGTATTGATAGACGAGACTAGTACCTGGTTATAGTATGGGTGTATTGATAGACGAGTCTAGTACCTGGTTATAGTATGGGTGTATTGACAGACGAGGCCAGTACCTGGTTATAGTATGGGTGTATTGCCAGACGAGGCTAGTACCTGGTTATAGTATGGGTGTATTGATAGACGAGGTTAGTCCCTGGTTATAGTATGGGTGTATTGATAGACGAGGCTAGAACCTGGTTATAGTATGGGTGTATTGACAGACGAGGCCAGTACCTGGTTATAGTATGGGTGTATTGCCAGACGAGGCTAGTACCTGGTTATAGTATGGGTGTATTTATAGACGAGGTTATTACCTGGTTATAGTATGGGTGTATTGATAGACGAGTCTAGTACCTGGTTATAGTATGGGTGTATTGACAAACGAGGCTAGTACCTGGTTATAGTATGGGTGTATCGACAGACGAGGCTAGTACCTGGTTATAGTATGGGGGTATTGACAGACGAGGCTAGTACCTGGTTATAGCATGGGTGTATTGATAGACGAGACTAGTACCTGGTTATAGTATGGGTGTATTGATAGACGAGTCTAGTACCTGGTTATAGTATGGGTGTATTGATAGACGAGTCTAGTACCTGGTTATAGTATGGGTGTATTGACAGACGAGGCTAGTACCGGTGGTCAAATAACCTTGGACGTTCCTTTGCTACAAAACAGTTCACTGAATGAAGCCGATTTGCACTACTAAAGCGTATTCAGTACTGTAACCGTTATGATTTATGCAAGCAATATACCCCAGAACATCGCCAAGAAATGTTCTATTTTCATATAATCCTTAACCTCGCAAAGAAACCTCATTTATAATATCTTGCGATTTCCCAGTTCTGGAATTGAAGTCGCCGACAAGAACGATTTTACCATTTATGATGAATTTCAATACTTCATTTTCTAGCTCCACGAAAGGTTATCCCCCTCAATAAATGTAAATTGTTTACTGACGCAACGTCTCTATGACGCTAGTTCAGGAATGCATTCAACTTAATTAATGTACAGTTATAATAGCTATGAAAAGTGCGGCCTATGCATCAATATTATAATCGTCTCCATTTGAGGTGTGACAGAGAAGTCTCCAACCCGAGGGGTGACAGAAAAGTCTCCAGCCCGAGGGGCGACAGAGAAGTCTCCAACCCGAGGGCTGATATATTTGGTTGTCTAATCCGAAACTCTGCAGAGGGTGTGTTTCTCTGTTACATCCTCAAGATAGGGGATGATTACTTTTCTCCCATCTTTCCAATACCATGTTTAAAAACACGAGTCTTCAGCTTTTGTAATCTGTTTGTTATCCTGATTTGCATATGACCTCTCCCGTCTACAGCTGATTATGGCGTCATGTATCGTTCCCATGACATAACGCAGTATTGTTCATTTCTGTGTGTAATCTGTCATACCTTAGGGGGAACTAGTATAATCCCCCTACCGTCAGGGTGTGACAGAGAAGTTTCCAACCCGAGGGGTGAGTTTTGTTGTCCTCTAGCCCGAGTCTCAGCGGAAACATGGCTGTATTACGAATTTACAACATCACAACAGAAGACTAGCAGTCACGAATGTGTTCGTATTTAGCATTTTAAAAAACAAGAGGCCTGGAAGGCCTTTATCGCTCACTTGAATATTTTAGTAATCATGGAAAATATTTTCAATAAAAGTACTTTTGCAAATATTTCATATCGTCCTTGGCTTCGGAATGTTCCAGACTGAATGAAACTTTATACTACTCTACCTACTGGCTAAGTATCAATTCTCTGGGCGTCCTGGCTATTCAGAACAAGCTGTTTAAAGGTTAAAAACACCCATTAAACTGACCCTTGTTATCTTTAAAGATTGACAATGTCATTTATTTGAGGAAACTTTATCGTACTCTGTCCCAGGTACATACTGGCCAAATAACATGGCCCTAGGTTCTCCAGTTCTCAAGAAGAAGTCTTCCGTAAAGAATAAAGTTGACGGACGACGACGGACAACACACAATACCATAAGGTCAACATCCCTCGTGCCAGGTGAGCTTAAAACCTTATCAGTTCACCGGTCAGTATACAACAGAAATACGTCAGAGCTACCGTACGTCAAAATAGAAACAGATAATAACCCGTTTATATATATCCTTGTGTTCCCCCTGTAGTACAGAGCCCAAAACTTGTCTGATATTCACTCTAATCAGGAATATTTTGATGAAATTGCAAGCCCAAGTAAGGCACACACCAACAGCCTGCTCTGGAAAAAAGGGGATTTGTCATAAACTTGACCACAATATAACAAAAATAAGAGAATACTGAAGCATGAACAAAACTCAAAATCTAACTTATGAACACTTACAAGATACAAGAATTTTTATTTAGAGTCGTATATGTTGTAATGGAAACATTAGCTCTGTAGCGCTATTATTAAGACAAACAAAGGTATACAAACAGGATATATAAGACAACATGCAGAAAACAACAGGCATATAACAAGACACACAAAGACAAGAAAAACTATATCACAGCATACAGTAATTAAAACGACTTGGCACGTACAGGACGAAGTATATATAAAAAGCTATATTAAAATCGATGCTGCACAAAAAAATTATGCCACATGCTCACATACGTAAATGCCAAATTGGCACGAGTTAAAACGGACCGAATATACGCTAACATAGCATAAATTAAAACGATGATCATACAATGCTTAAATAAGAGCACTAAGCAAAAAATGAAAGGAAGTAAAAGCATAGAAGCATGGTATCACAAGACATGGTAAAATCTAAGTATAGAAATGATAAAAAGGTTGGCACAAACAACAAGACTAGTTACATATGGCGCAGGAACACAACTGGCCGTCCCAAGTGTACAGCAGTCTGCGAAAGCTCTGGACATTTTCTACTTTCCTCAGTTCATTCGGCAAACTGTTCCACACTTAGGCCGCCTCAAAACGAAAAGACTTTTTTCCATACCTTGTTGTGTTAACTCTTGGTACCTGAATGGTGTTCTCTTGCCTGAAATTATATTCAACATTATTTTTAACAATCAAATCATTTAAAAATTCTGGAGCTAACCCATTATTAAAAAAATTAAAGACTTCTGTAGCCACGGTCTTTATTCTAACAATGTGTAAAAATGTGAGGTTGTTTCTGCGTAAAATATCTATCACAGGTGAGGTAAAATCATTTTCAATAAAACGCAGAGCTCTTTCCTGTATCTTTTCCATCTTTAGTGTTGCTGAGGCTATGGCCTTAAATTTACTAGGATTTGCTTTCATACCATTTGCTGAAAACCAGTTTAGTAAAACTTGAAATTACTTAGGCTTTTTCTAGAGTAAGTTTAAGGTTTGAAGAACAGTTGTTAATATATGAAAGGGTATTGTCATCAGCATAATTGTACAAAACGCAGTCTTTTAGAAACGTAAAAATGTCATTAAGAAAAATGTTAAAAATCAGTGGGCCGACAATAGACCCCTGCTTGACTCCCTTCCTCAGCAGCTTCCAGCCGCTGACATCGGGGCCAAGTCTAATCCGCTTGGATCCTGCTTTTAGCTAATTGGCAGAAATTCCGTCCACCCCAGTAGATTTCTTGCAGTCTAAACTAAAAAATGAGTGTCGTTACCTGTGCAGTACTGACATTGCTAAATTTAAAGGACCCCTCACATCTGCCACAGGTTTCACTTGTTTTGAATATGTACACTGCTTGGGTGATCAGAAAAATACCATTCACCATCAAGCTCTTTCCCAATTCATTGGCTATATCAGTAAAATATTCATTATAAATATCACATACTTTCTTCTGATCAGAGATTACAATATTTTCCTCCCGTAGGCCTACAATGCTTTGATCATTTCTACATGATTTGTTTGATAAAAAAAAAGACTTTACTGTGGGCCAAAAATCACTTGACGACATAATCAAGAATCCTATGCTGACAGTATCAGTCTAAGATTTCAGTGAGACATACCGGCGACGCAATATTTAATGTCATTAAGCTGGTATATTTTCAATATGTATTGATCAGTGTATTAAGCTAAATTGCAACTGAAACGTAAGCAAGCAGTTGTCTCCCTCTACACACGTTACGACTCGCCTGCACAGGTTTCTTACTTGTGTTTCATGCATTCTCGTGCGAGTTGTACATTTTAATTGAATTAAATATTAATGTGATAGTTATCTTTAAAAGACATGACATATATATTCATATTCCTTATAACATAATAAATGACATTGAATGAGTGTGAAATATTGAACGGTCCCAGGTTTTCTGTCACTGGTAGCCTCCCTTGGCAGAACTCTTGCGATTGTTTCCTTTATCAACGGTTTCCCGCGAATGAAAGTAGAAGAATATTGATGCCAAATCTATGTCTAACCAACTCAAAGATAATTGAAACACGAGTAAGTATCAATATATTTGTAAATCAATAAACAAGTGTGTTTGTCCCACATGTGGAAAGTATGTCAATATATAGAATCATTCCATTTGACGTTCATGGGCTCCACACATTTCCTACATTAGCCAGGATCAGTAGCCCGACTTTCCTCTACCCTGATATATGTTTGGTGTGTGATCAGACATCTGTCTATCAAAATGTGTAAGTTTGGTGTCAGGGCCAGAGGAAACTCCGGCTAGCTTGAACAATACTGCCTTTGAACATGACATGATATATCTAGTTTTGTATAGTATTACTTTGATATCATGGTACATTGTACATTGATGTACATTACTAGTGACACCCGACACATGTACCGTACCTCGGTAGCCGTGATCGCTAACGCTCACAGTCATTGTACTTCTGTGTGCAATCAAGCGTGAGCTTCAGATCACTCGATCTCCCAATAATTTCGGTTCTATCCCAAGCGATGGTTGGAAAAAGAGAGTGATGTCTGATAGGGTAAGTTGTTTTCCCTCCGATGGCACGGTGGTTTTCCCCAATGGGTTTTCCTCCTCCGCGAAAACACCATTTGTTCCCTTAGCGGCATCATAATAAAAGCTCTTCAGAGCTTATGTTTGTTGTTGACAATTTTACACAACGTTAAATAAAGATTATTATTATTGTTATTATGTACAATAATCATAGTTTAACTTTCGGTTTCAATGTAACATTGTGGACATACACTATACATCATTTCTCCCTTCCTGGATAATTCATCCACAATGGTTGATCTCTATTTCTCCCACCCTTCACAGGTATGTCTCCCGTTTTAGCCGGGAAAGATCAGCTTGTCACCCCCTAGGGTGAGATATAGCCTCGTGCCGATTAGTACATGTTCAATTGTGACGTCATTAAAATGTGTCAATGGCAATTGTGACATCATCAAAGTGAATGACGATATTCATACCCCACATGTGTTTTTGTTTACAAACAGATAACTGTTGGTCGAGTTGTGACTGAATTAATAGGATGGGAGAAAAATAATCATCCCCTACCTTGAGGGTGTAACAGAGAAATTCCAACCCTCAGGGTGATTGTTTTGGTTGTCTATCCCTCGGCAGAGCCTCTGGTTAGACAACCAAAAAACATCGCTCTGGTTGGGGATTTCTCGGTCACACCCTCAAGGTAGGGGAAGATTCAGTAATTCCACAGATAATTAAATTTCTCTAAAGTTGATCCAGTCTCCTTGGCTACTTGCATTTTGGTTGATAAGGTTGAATATTAGGGCTGGAATGGGTAACCAAGCCAGTCGCGGTTCTGTTACTATAGGTAACGGGTACTATCCTGTTAGTATCAGACTCCAGGACAGTTTTAATAACAAAAACGGAATTCTATATAGGAATTATGGACAATTTCCCCTGTCCTTTGAAATTCACTATACATTTGTACATGCTTCAAAATTCCCCTTTTTCAACAAGAAAATAGCAGGTTTTCTTCCAAATATTTCCTGTATATATGTATTCTTCAAAGTTTAAAGTAAATACATAATGCTGCATATATACATTTATTCACATAATTTAAACACAAAATTTTCAATTTTAAGCTTAAATTGTTTATAAATTGAAATATACTGCACACATGCATGTCTGACAAATCATTTAACTTTTACCTTCATGACGCTAGAGCATTGTATCAGAATTTTAATTGAAGCTTCATCACTTACCTTCTATTACTCCAGTACAAGTCATCAAAATGTCAACACATTGCTATATCGTGAGCTTTACTATGCCAATTTAACAAGTGTAGGTCAGTGTGTCCCATAATTTCTGCTTCATTGACTTACCTAGACTTTGTGTTAAGTGACAGCTGAAGTCCACATCTCCAGTTAGATTGTGTAAACATCTAAAAGAAGAATAATGTATAACCTGTCGTGCACTCTAGATAGCATTGACAACGTGTCTGGTTTGTTGACAGGAGAACAATGCCTGCACGTCGTGCTCAGAGATGTGGCTGTGGAAGAGGAGTGTTTGGACTTATAGACTGGACCACACCCCTCAGACGACCAGCTGCTCTGAAGAATTTTCAGGATGCCCCAGTTTCTCCTGGAGTAACTTCCCCTCAATCATGTACCTCCCCTTTCTCTCCATTTCCAATTTCTCCAGGAAATGCTGTTGGTTGTAAGTATGAAACAGATGATTTTATGCATGAGTAGAATTAAGACCTCATGATTAGAAATTGATTTTGATTTTCACTTGTCAGATGAACATGAAGTTTCCAATTTTACTAGTCCATGTGCAAATTTCACTTACCCAATATCATTCAACTTTATTAGGTCACCTGAGCTTTGCTCAAGTGACCTATTCTAATCGCTTTCCTTCCGTCGTCGTCTGTCGTGCGTAAACTTTTTACATTTTCAACTTCTTCTCAAGAACTAGTGGATGGATTTTTTTCAAACTTGGTCAGAATCATCCTTGGTAGATGAGGCTACAAAATTGTAAAATTGGAATTCCTTCCCCAACCCCTGGGGCCAGGGCTGGGCCCCAAAGGGAAAATTAACCAATATTTCCAAAATGTTCTCCTCCAGACTCAGAGGTACTACATTCATTTTCTCTGCATGGAAAGAAAATCATCAGGGGCTTTATTTAAATAGTAAATTTCAGGACCCCAAGCTTTCCGTTCTCCCTTGGGGAGGGGGAAATAACACTTTTGGGTATATTTTATCCTTTTTCAGGAGAAAATTACTCAAACTTAGTCAGAATCATCTTTGGTGAATGAGAGTATTACTTTGTAAAATTGGGATTCCTGTCCCGTCCCCAGGGGCTAGGGCGGGGCCCCAAAGGGAACATTTACCAATATTTTCAAATTCTTATCCTTTGATGACATGACAAGTATTGTATTTCACTTAGTTTACATGCTGATTTCCACATCACATCTAAACAATAAAATAAATCTACCAGCACCTATAATATAACTCAGGTGACCGCTAAGGCCCTTGGGCCTCTTGTATTTACATTTGCGCTGTAACCCACTATCTGAACATTACCAGCAGAAATGCATACCTTTTGAGTATGAAAGCAAAATCTCTCGTGATGTAACTCGTAGTTTACTTACGACGTCATATATTAACCTTGTTCATTGAGAGTCTTGTTGCATCGCTTCGGATAACATTGAGAATGCCCTTGTATCAAACGTTCAAATGACTACGGTTAATTATGGACACCAATTTTATTTAAATAGTGCTGTTCCGTCAATGTCGTTTAAAGGACGATGCATATGCAAAACACAGTTAAAGAATTAATTATTTAAGAACAAAGAAATAAAACTCAACAATTGTTCTATAGTAAAAAAGTAAATCTAACGGGCTTCATGCAATATGGATGTAAACGATTTGTGTTCATACCGGCATGAACATTTTAAAAAATGCCTTTCAATCCATATATAAATTCTATCAATGTTTGTCTAGTCAATCATGCTAGCAGTTTTTAGGATCACTTAGGTTACGCTACAGATGTCACTAGTCACATCACTATCCAGCTACCCATATATATATAACACATAATAATTTAAAGATATAATGTGCTGTTTACAAATAATATACATGTTGTTAAAAGATTGTGTTTTTATTTATCCAAAACCCATCGGCATCACCGTACAAATTAAAATTTACATGTTTGTGAAATTTTCATGACAGTCCATTAACTTACTTTACTGTATGTAAATTGTAGAGGACATTTATCAGAGCACAACTACAAGATTAGATGGTACAATGACAATAAGTGTATAGAGCACAACTACAAGATTAGATGGTACAATGACAATACGTGTATAGAGCACAACTACAAGATTAAATGGTGCAATGACAATATGTGTATATAATGTAACATCACGAAGTTTATCACTTCAGCCTGAACAAGAACAAACCCCAATTGTCCAAGTGTCTGAACAGATATTCACATGTTACATGGTTACAGGTAGACTGTTAATAATAACACAATTTTTTTTTTCAAAACTGTTAAAACCGATTAATAGTTTTCTGTGTTATTGAGTCATTGCAACTTGTTCAGGTTTTTAGAATATATCAAAAAGGTAAGGTGAAGATATAGCCCCTCTCCCGTCATGTCAGTGTAGCCGACATACAGATAACTTAGCTGGTGTCCCCCATTGCCTCTGTTCATGTTTTGAGTTTATCTGATTTTGATTTCTTCTTTGTTGCTTATTTGATACACTCTATATCGATAGGCAAAATGTCCTAGGCAAGTGACATGCTATATGTTTGGTTGTAAAATAAAATAAATACCTTTTGGTGCGATACCTTCAGAAAAAGCTACTATAAAAAAAAAGAAAAAAAAAGATGCATGCATGTGTTGTGATGAATAATGTATAAAACATTTGTTTTTTATGTATCACCAGCTTGGGCAGATGCCATGGAGAGTCCATCTGCTAAGAAGTTCAAGTGTGGAGACAAACTGTTGATGAAATACAGCTACACAGCCAATGAAGACAGTCCTTTGGATCAGCCTGAACTTAACGTTTGTCAGCAGGATTACATAGAATTTGTCTGTTTCCATGCCGACAACCAACTGTGGTCCCGTGTGTGTAATGCTAACGGGAAGGAAGGTTATGTACCGACAGATTATCTCATGGTAGGTTGATGTTCAACTAACACATGATTTTATGATATCATACTAGCACCTTTGTTGTAAGTGTAGAATACAGGAGTTGACTTAACCTCTGTTATTCTGTTTTTTTCTTCCCAAAGAAACATCCATGATACTTGAGCTCACTTTTGCTCTCTGCACCCCTGTAATATGTCATAGCAAAATCAAAGGCTCAGCGGGCGCCATTTTATGGCTGAGACAAGAAGCCTAACTTTATTTTTTGATATACATTAAAGAATGTTTGGGTTGTGTAACAGTAATATTGACTGGCTTTGAAGTCGGGTGTCGCTCCTTTGTAATCTTCTAAGGTATCAGCCTTGATATTGGTCAAGTTTCTTTAACCAGAGACCAATCAAATAGCTACATTTTAGGTGCTTGCCTGTAATTTTGCTATACCATAGTCCAGGGGTGCAGAGAGCGAAAGTGAGCGTAATCCCTGGAGAATTGAGGATGCCCAATGACGATGTTATTTTGTATATGTAACAACACTAACTGCCAAGACATCTGAGTTTTGAGTTCAAGCATGAGAAAAGTACAATGAACATGAGCCAAGATATTAATCGATATATTATAAAAATGTCAGGGCTAGCAGTGTTTGACAGCAGTACTAGCAGTAATTACCAGTAGCTGTTTGACAACAGTTCTAGCAGTACTTACCAGTAGCTGTGTTTGACAGCAGTTCTAGCAGTACTTACAAGTAGCTGTGTTTGACAGCAGTTCTAGCAGTACTTGCAAGTAGCTGTGTTTGACAGCAGTTCTAGCAGTACTTGCAAGTAGCTGTGTTTGACAGCAGTTCTAGCAGTACTTGCAAGTAGCTGTGTTTGACAGCAGTTCTAGCAGTACTTGCAAGTAGCTGTGTTTGACAGCAGTTCTAGCAGTACTTGCAAGTAGCTGTGTTTGACAGCAGTTCTAGCAGTACTTACCCGTAGCTGTATTTGACAGCAGTTCTAGCAGTACTTACCAGTAGCAGTGTTTGACAGCAGTTCTAGCAGTACTTACCAGAAGCTGTGTTTGACAGCAGTTCTAGCAGTACTTACCAGCAGCTGTGTTTGACAGCAGTTCTAGCAGTACTTACAAGTAGCTGTGTTTGACAGCAGTTCTAGCAGTACTTGCAAGTAGCTGTGTTTGACAGCAGTTCTAGCAGTACTTGCAAGTAGCTGTGTTTGACAGCAGTTCTAGCAGTACTTGCAAGTAGCTGTGTTTGACAGCAGTTCTAGCAGTACTTGCAAGTAGCTGTGTTTGACAGCAGTTCTAGCAGTACTTGCAAGTAGCTGTGTTTGACAGCAGTTCTAGCAGTACTTGCAAGTAGCTGTGTTTGACAGCAGTTCTAGCAGTACTTGCAAGTAGCTGTGTTTGACAGCAGTTCTAGCAGTACTTGCAAGTAGCTGTGTTTGACAGCAGTTCTAGCAGTACTTGCAAGTAGCTGTGTTTGACAGCAGTTCTAGCAGTACTTACCAGCAGCTGTGTTTGACAGCAGTTCTAGCAGTACTTACCAGAAGCTGTGTTTGACAGCAGTTCTAGCAGTACTTACCCGTAGCTGTATTTGACAGCAGTTCTAGCAGTACTTACCAGTAGCTACACGTTTGCCAGCAGTACTAGCAGTACTTACCAGTAGCTGTGTTTGACAGCAGTCCTAGCAGTACTTACCAGTAGCTGTGTTTGACAGCATTTCTAGCAGTACTTGCAAGTAGCTGTGTTTGACAGCAGTTCTAGCAGTACTTGCAAGTAGCTGTGTTTGACAGCAGTTCTAGCAGTACTTACAAGTAGCTGTGTTTGACAGCAGTTCTAGCAGTACTTGCAAGTAGCTGTGTTTGACAGCAGTTCTAGCAGTACTTGCAAGTAGCTGTGTTTGACAGCAGTTCTAGCAGTACTTACCAGTAGCTGTGTTTGACAGCAGTACTAGCAGTACTTACCAGTAACTGTGTTTGACAGCAGTACTAGCTGTACTTGCCAGTAGCTGTGTTTGACATCAGTACTAGCTGTACTTGCCAGTAGCTGTGTTTAAGTAACTGGTTAAATATCCGTTTTGTATTCTCTTTGACATATATAGTTCCTGATTAAGCAGTTAAGTTGAAGAGGACAAGAACAGTTTGAAAATTTGTGCCTACCCTTTCGCTGCATAAATATGAATTGCCCTCTTTCATACATACCTAACTTGACTATAGATAAAAGTTGTATGTATTTTACAACAATACTGAAACAAAATATTTCAACTTACATAAAATCATACTTGTTGGCCGGTATGTTAGTGCGGGGCTGGGATGTTTAATTTGTGAGGAAACCAGAGTTCCCAGAGAAACCTCAAGTGGTCAGGCAGGAAGTGACCCCATACCTTTTCACATCCAATCGGATATCAAACCCTAGCCGCCTTGGTGAAAAACAAGAGCGATACCCACTCCCCAACCTGAGCACCTCATTTACTAGAATTATCCATGTCTGTTCTGTCCTTTTTCAAAAATTACCCAAGGTTACCAGTTTCCAGTAAATCAAACATTTAATGATTAAACACCATAACAATCATTACATAATTTGCCCAAATACAGTGAATGTGGAAATTTGATATAATCATTATCAATGTAGTCTATCTTATGTTGTAGATTGTGGAAGAACAGGTGAATTCATTGCCATGGCTACCAAAGTCAGCCGAGGTACAGCAAGAAAAAGGTAAAGTATGCAATAATTTCTCTTGTAAAAGGTTGTGATAGTTACAATCTTAAGTAAAAAGGTTCAAGTTGTTATGTACGTATAGGTACATATAACCCTGAAAGTCAAACATTGTAGTAAATGTGTAATTTGTCTTTTCAGTTCTCAGTGGCGGATAGGATATCATTATCCATTGTTAAATCACAGGGGTGAATGGAAGGCTTCCTGTGCAGTTAGGTTTGTGTAGGGGGTTCTTGACTTGTATATGGATAATCCCTGAGAGACCAGGTGTGTAGGGGGTTCTTGCCTTGTATAGGGATGATCCCTGAGAGACCAGGTGTATAGGGGGTTCTTGACTTGTATATGGATGATCCCTGAGAGACCAAGTGTGTAGGGGGGTTCTTGACTTGTATATGGATGATCCCTGAGAGACCAAGTGTGTAGGGGGTCCTGACTTGTATATGGATGATCCCTGAGAGACCAGGTGTGTAGGGGGTTCTTGACTTGTATATGGATGATCCCTGAGAGACCAGGGCCTGTAGTCATGAAACTGTTCCCTTGCTCAAACTCAGTTTCTGTGCTCTACTCCAGTTGCTTGATCCGCTGATAAGTTGATAAAAAAACCACATTGTGTCACTGACATGAAAGAAACTTAGGGAGACTACACCATTTGAACATCCACTTGGGATGGAGTCAGTACACATGTTTCCCTCTAACTGCAGCCTGTAGTATTAGGGTGCCTGTTGTATAAGAGTGCTTTTGGTGAAATGTTTGATATTTTCTGACAGCTGATTTTACTGTTTCGCCACATTGAGGTTTAGTGAGTTGTTTTCAGCAGATGAGAGTCAAGACACCTATCATTTTCACCCTTTGCTTCACAAAAAAACACTATTTTTGAATACTTGCAAGTATGTTTTCAATCACTGTTTGTGATCAACACAAACTTATCATTTATTATTCATTCCAAACTGATGAATCTCATTTCAGAAAAAAATAAATGCTGTGTTTTGCAAGGTGAAAACACTGAAAACGTTCTACAGGTTTTTATGTAAATATTTAATTTTTCAGCTTCATTTTTAAAAAGGTCTTTAATTATTTTTGCAGTTGAATATAAGCCATACAAATCTGCATACCAGTCCAACATGGCCAAGGAATCCTCGAAGCAACAGTACACCTGTGATATCTGTTGTCGTGAGTTTAATGGACCCTTGCCATACAATGCTCACATGAAAAGTAAAGCACACATGGAGGAGGTCATGCTACTAGAGGACAATTCCTGAGGGCGGGCAACATGTAAGGGGAGACAACTAGTAAGGGGAGACAACTCATAAGGGTAGACAACTCAAAAGTGGAAACAACTCATAAGGGTAGACAACTCATAAAGGGAGACAACTCGTATGGGGAGACAACTCGTAAGGGTAGACAACTCATAAGGGGAGACAAATACTATTGACTGTTGGCTACAATTATGACAGGATACCTGTGGAGGGTAGGCAGCTATCTCTGAGGACTCATCTGTGTGGTGATCTGTTATATATGAAATTATATCTTTTGGAGGGAGACAACTATTTTAAAAAGACATCACTTGATGGTGTTATACCTATCATGAAAGGACATTTCATGATGGTAGACAAGAAACCCTCAGAAGACAAATCAAACTGTAGACTTATATCATCAGGATTTATATTGTGAGTAAAGAAAAATATCAGGAAACAAAATTTAAGATAAATATCATCAGAAGACAACCTTACATTGAAGACAGGTGACTACTTTAAGGGAATCTCTGAGGTGAGAAGTTTTCAAAGAGGCTACATCCTTAAAGATTTTATCCAAGCTTGAGAGTCAACTCAAAAAGTCATGCCCCCAAAAAATGTCAAATATGAAGGTATAGGAATACTAGAAAAAAGTCTACAGCAAGGCCATGATGCATTATGTAAGGCGAGCTAACTCTCATAAAATCTTACAAGGGGAGATAATTAAAATGCCAAAATTATTCACATATAATGCAACATTGTTATTGGTAAAATACAGGTACATGTATTGATTTACGGCTTAAGGCTGTAAGTTGTGGTTTATTAATATGTTACAGTTAGTATTATTTAGATATAACTATGAATCATGTATGATATTATACTTGTTTTTATGTCATTTAGTGTCTAGTGTTGAAATGAAGATGTTCCTGATGTAATTATAATTATGTATTATTAGGCTTTGATGTTCACTAGTTCATCCTTATTTTGCCACACGTTTTGTTTTACTTATTCTTGTTTTGTTGTTTGTTTTGCGTAAAGATGACAAACATTCCGTTATTTTTCTTTTCACTTATGTAACGAGATTGAATGTGTATGAAATAACCAGAATGTATGTGATACATACATGTGTATGTACATTCATGTTTTGGTATCCTAGGTTTAAGTGATTGTATAACAACAGAACTAGCTTCCTTCACTTTTTACAGACAAAAGGTAAAATGACAACCGAACGGCATCATTGTATAGTAATTTCAGTGTTTATTTTTACCAATAACAATGTGTTTCCACTGAATTTTAGATATTGGGGTAAATATTTGATACATTTTCAAGATTCTGTATCCCTAGGTTTTTAGTTACAAAGAGCAATTGTTGAAAACTGGCGTTGCAACCAACTGTTTTAGGGATGAAAAACCCTCATTTTGGGATATCTGGGAACACTGAACTTATTCCTAAAGTTGGTGCAAACAGTCAAAAAATAAAATCTATCAAAGAATATTGATACATTAATATTTTGTACATTCTAAGCAGGTAAATTAGCAGGTGCAGTTTGTGAAATGTTTAAATACATGGTGACTGATAGCTAATTATTGAAATGTTAATTCATGGAGTAAATAGTATGTTATAATTCCAATATACATTATTATTATTTGCTGATTTAAATATATACCATAATGATCAGATTCCTGGTAAATATTCATTTCTTGTTCATGTTTCATATGAAAATGATCATAAATAAATACTCTTCACTGCCTTTAAATTGATTATGTGTAGTGGATACTTTTTGTAGAAAATGATTTTGGTGGCAAACCATTCAAATTGTTTTGTTGTGTTCATGATGTCAACTTCACGAGGTACAAAGTGGACATAGTTACATGTTCGTGTTAAACACCGAACTCATTCACCCCTGAAATTTTGTAATGAACTATTCCAACCTTTGAATTGGAAGAGTTCAAATGTGTCTTCAGGGGTGAATGAGTTGATACACATATCATTGTTTCACCCATTGTAATCTCCATAATACAGTATTATGACTCTTCAAGAGAAAATCTAAGAAATGTTCATGTTTCCATTTTTGTTCACTGAAGCCAAAGATTAAAGAACATGTCTCATCTAATTTCTATAAATTCTGTCCTACATTTATATGTACAGAGTATGTCTCCCTTGATCTCTAGGAGGTTTCTTGTACAGTTATATATACACACCATATTTGCCATAATCAGTGCCCTTGCCCTTTCCCTCAGCATGTTTTAAAGGATATAATGCCACCTTTTCCCGGGAAAGATGTATCAGATATATCCAAGACATATTTCCTTATTCACTTTATATCTGATACTTCAGCCTGTGTACCAATAAGACTGTTTTACAGTTCTGTTGTAAAAAAGGAAATAAAAAACATTTTTTTTTAATTCTCCGTCAGAATATGTCCGACAGTTATATTGTCTTGCATTGTAACAGCAACTGCCACAACCTATCATTTGTTATCTTAATAACCGCCCTCTGAACCCTTTCATCACTGTAGACCATAATGGACTCACCCAGATAAATGTATGGTAGACTCTCCTTAAGTTACCCAAGGGTGAAAGGTTAAGCCAATTTTCCGGAGCCCTGGCCATTGGCCCTGATTATGGCAAATACTGTACAGTGTGTTACGCTTAATATGATGTGTCATTTGTCAAGGACAATGTGATATCAAGTGAAATATGACTTAAACAGAAATAATCTAAATTTAAAGTAAATTGTGTTCACAGACACATGAATGTCAGTTTTTGAGAAATCAGATTTTAAATACTTAGCCATTTTTGGTATTAAGCCCTTGTTGGAAACCTTCAGCAGCTGGAAAAATGAAAATCAAAGTATAAAATGACCCCTCAGCCATTTAACTCATTCACCCCTGATATTTCATAATGAACTATACCAACCGTTGAATTGGAAGAGTTCAAATGTGTCTTCAGGGGTGAATAATAAAAGTCATTAATACTTAATATAAAACAACTTAAATCGCATAAATATGGACAGAAAAAATGGTTCTTTTATATTAGGTAAACATATTATTATCAGAAGTATTAAAATAAAGCAGCAAAACATAAAAAATAAACCATTGTTTTAATGTGATATAAATTGTTGATTGTCACTAAACTTTTGTTGATTTAAACATATTTTTATTGCCTTGAAAATGACTAAAAGGATTGGGCACAAGTTCTTACAACTTAATTTAGCCCTCTCCTAACTTAAGTACATTTTACGTACATCAAATCTGTCTTATTTTTTTTTTTATATTTAAGTTAAATTCACAAAATAGGTTGTTGACAACTGTTTCTCTGTACCCCAACCTCCTCATAGAGAATTAAGCGATATTTTCACACAGATAAAGAAAAAATATTCTTCGAACATGATGTAATTGTTGTAAATAAGACTACTAGAAACGGTTTGTATCCTTTATGTACTTACATACATAGGTAAAGGTTTTACTGTTTTGTTCAAAAGTGAGATCATGATTACCCCAGAGAAGTGTGTTTATGTCTGTTAGGAGGATCTCTGGAAGATTTAAGTTCCTAAGATTTCTTACCTGAGGTGATTTCTTACAGTTGAGTAATTTGGACATGTATAGAAATAGTGATGTACATTTTCTACTGCCCCACTTAAACATAAAGGTTTTTCGCCGAGGTTAATTCTATAAAGGTCATATTGTAGATCGCTGCATTCGTTCCTAAGTCTAGTGTGTAAAGTTGTCTATTTTCTACTTTTGTTTGATTATAATAATACCACATGTATCAACATAAGAGGTGTTCACAGTGTTGTGCTTTTGTCAAACTGGAAGTGTTGCATTGAGATTTGTGGGCCAAACATTTGTTTGAGGTCATTTCGGGTCATTCTTGGCAAATAAAGTTGTCCTAAGTCATCTGTAGGTCTTAGTGGTCGTTCTGGTCCCAAAAAGTTTTTTGTGTGTCTCGGTGATCATTCAATGGTGGTGGTAAATAAAAAGATTAATCTGTCTCTGTTAATTGAAACTATCGATAAATCTTATGCTGGAATTAAAATGGAACTAGAATATTACCTCATGTCTGTATGGATGAAAAATATGTACATGTACATACATGTTTCAAGGTTTCACAGATGAAGTCATGGCTTCAAGGTGAAAATGCTTCTTAAAATCATAGAGGTCAGGTCATAGTGCTTCTCAAGGTGGCACAGGTCAGGTTATAGCTGCTCAAGGTCACTAGGGTCACTTTATAGCTGTTCAAAGTCACTAGGGTCAGGTTATAGCTGCTCAAGGTCACCAGGGTCAGGTTAGCGCTGCTCAATGTCACTAGGGTCAGGTTATGGCTTCTCAATGTCACTGGGGTCAGGTTTTAGCTGCTCAAGGTCAATAGGGTCAGGTTATAGCTGTTCAAGGTCACTAGGGTCAGGCTATAGCTGCTCAAGGTCACTAGGGTCAGGTTATAGCTGTTCAAGGTCAGTAGGGTCAGGTTTTAGCTGTTCAAGGTCACTAGGGTCATGTGTTAGCTGCTCAAGATCACTAGGGTCAGGTTATAGTTGCTCAAGGTCACTAGGGTCAGGTTATAGCTGCTCAAGGTCACTAGGGTCAGGTTATAGCTGATCAAGGTCACTAGGGTCAGGTTTTAGCTGCTTAAGGTAATTAGGGTCAGGTTTTAGCTGCTCAAGGTCACTAGGGTCAGGTTATAGCTGTTCAAGGTCACTAGGGTCAGGTTATAGCTGCTCAAGGCCACTAGGCTCAGGTTATAGCTGTTCAAGGTCACTAGGCTCAGGTTATGGCTTATCAAGGTCACTAGGCTCAGGTTATGGCTTCTCAAGATCACTAGGGTCAGGTTATAGCTGCTCAAAGTAACTAGGGTCAGGTTATAGCTGATCAAGGTCACTACATGTATGGTCAGGTTATAGCTGCTCAAGGTCACTAGGGTCAGGTTATAGTTGCTCAAGGTCACTAGGGTCAGGTTATAGCTGCTCAAGGTCACTAGGGTCAGGTTATAGCTGATCAAGGTCACTAGGGTCAGGTTATAGCTGCTCAAGGTCACTAGGGTCAGGTTATAGCTGATCAAGGTCACTAGGGTCAGGTTATAGCTGCTCAAGGTCTCATGAGTCTAATACTTCAAATAATTATACATGTACATCAAGTGTTCATAGATTGGATGTCTGCTGTTAAGTTACTGAAATTGGAGGACCAGCCTCTCATTGATATTGGTTAAATGCTGCAAAGTGACCGGGTCAGAACAATTGTTTGAGGTTGAATCTACATTACGTTGTCTGTACATGCCAAAAAATGTATACTGGATTGGTTTATGATGATTTGTAACATTTCATATAACAAAGCCTTGTTAATCTGGAACCGTCACATTCTGGACATTCATGCTTTAAAACATATTTCACCACACGAATTGTAAATATAGATAAACAAAAGTGCTGTGAGGACCACTTTCTCAGGAATTGAAGTTCATGAATAATATCATAGAAAAGCACCTGGTGCAAATATTTCTATAACGACTGATGTCTGCGAGAAAATTGTTGTTTACTGTGTGTTGTCAGGGGTCACACATAATCTTTAACCTGTTTCAGGTTAAAAATTATTGTGTTACCCCTAACAACACACAGGCATGACTAATCCTATGTGAGCCTGTGGCCAGACAGAACTCCAGTGCCTAACCTGTCCTTTGTCACCCCTGAAAACACTGAAGTTGTAATCAGTCCTTTACTACATGTATGGCTAGAAATCACTAGAAACACTAAGGAGTGACCAATCCTATATTAATTAACTGTGTCTCATCGAGGTGACATCTAGAAACCTCCAGCCGTTAAATGTGTCTGCTAATTAAAAACATTGATTGACAACATTATGATTTGTTCATCTGTTAATTTGTGAATCTTGACATTATTTTTCAGAATGTGTAATGCACAGATTAATGAGGTTCAACTTTATATGTTGTTTAGCAGGTAAAACTTATTTAATTACGTGTGTAATTATACAATTCTAACACTAACTGAGAAGGACCTGAAACTAAAGGGATACCTGTCTAACCCAACACCTGAGTATTCTGACATCCTGTGTAATTAATATTAGGATTAAATCTATCATTCATGAAAACTTCCTGATCAGGCCTGTGTGTTTTAACATCCTGTGCAGTATGACCAGTATGATATGTCCCACAGGGTATCATATTAGACAGGTTAATTTAACCAATGTAATATCCCACAGGGTATCACATTAGACAGGTTAATTTAACCAATGTAATATCCCACAGGGTATCACATTAGACAGGTTGATTTAACCAATGTTATATTCCACAGGGTGTCAGATTAGACAGGTCAATGTGACCAATGTAATGTCCCACAGGGTATCATATTAGACAAGTTAATTAGACAAATGTTGTGTTCCATAGGGTGTCAGATTAGACAGGTTAAGTTAAAGAGAGTTTAGTTTTAACCAATGTTATATCCCACAAGGTGTCAGACTAGACAAGTTAATCTGACAAAGGTTATATACCACAGTGTATCAGATTAGACAGGTTAATTTGACCAGTATTATATGTCCCACAGGGTGTCCGATTAGACAGGTTCATCTGACAAATATATTGTGTCCCACAGGGTATCACGTTAGACAGGTTAATTTGACAAATGTTGTATTCCCCCAGGGTGTCATATTAGACAGGTTTCACTGTATATTTGTTCAACATATACAAAATGTTGAAGGTGAATGAGTACAACATAAACTGAAGGTTAAGATGACTAACAGGCTGTTTGGATTATTAGGTCACCTGAGCTTTAGCTCAAGTGACCTATTGCTATCCGTTTTCGTCCGTCGTCGTCCGTCGTCCGTCGTCCGTCGTCCGTCGTCCGTTAACATTTTACATTTCAAACTTAAAGTCAAGTTCTGCTGGGCCGATTGAACTGAAAGTTGGTAGGAATGATCGCCTCATGGTCCTGACAAAGTGTTGTTATTTTTCGGGTCGATCAGAAATCCAATATGGCCGCCACGGCCGCCATTTTGAAAACCTATTTCAAACTTAAAGTCAAGTTCTGCTGGACCGATTGAACTGAAAGTTGGTAGGAATGATCGCCTCATGGTCCTGACAAAGTGTTGTTATTTTTCGGGTCGATCAGAAATCCAATATGGCCGCCACGGCCGCCATTTTGAAAACCTATTTCAAACTTAAAGTCAAGTTCTGCTGGACCGATTGAACTGAAAGTTGGTAGGAATGATCGCCTCATGGTCCTGACAAAGTGTTGTTATTTTTCGGGTCGATCAGAAATCCAATATGGCCGCCACGGCCGCCATTTTGAAAACCTATTTCAAACTTAAAGTCAAGTTCTGCTGGACCGATTGAACTGAAAGTTGGTAGGAATGATCGTCTCATGGTCCTGACAAAGTGTTGTTATTTTTCGGGTCGATCAGAAATCCAATATGGCCGCCACAGCCACCATTTTGAAAACCTATTTCAAACTTAAAGTCAAGTTCTGCTGGACCGATTGAACTGAAAGTTGGTAGGAATGATCGCCTCATGGTCCTGACAAAGTGTTGTTATTTTTTGGGTCGATCAGAAATCCAATATGGCCACCACGGCCGCCATTTTGAAAACCTATTTCAAACTTAAAGTCAAGTTCTGCTGGACCGATTGAACTTAAAGTTTGTAGGAATGATCGACTCATGGTCCTGACAAAGTGTTGTTATTTTTCAGGTCAATCATAAATCCAATATGGCCGCCACGGCCACCATTTTGAAAACATATTTCAAACTTAAAGTCAAGTTCTGCTAGGCCGATTGAACTGAAACTTTGTAGGAATGATTGACTCATGGTCCTGACAAAGTGTTGTTATTTTTCAGGTCGATCAGAAATCCAATATGGCCACCACAGCTGCCATTTTGGTAAACTATTTCAAACTTAAAGTAAAGATCTACTTGGCCGATTGAACTGAAACTTTGTAGGAATGATCGAATCATGGTCCTGACAAAGTGTTGTTATTTTTCGGGTCAATCAGAAATACAATTTGGCTGCCATGGCCGCTATTTTGCTACTAAGTTCTAATAGGCCGATCTCACTTAAAATTGGTCTAGGAATGATCAGCTCATGGTCCTGACAAAGTTAAGTTAACATTATACTATTTTTTACTCAAATTGGTACATATTTCAACAACAAAAATAAATACTGTAGACTCAGGTGACCGTTAAGGCCCATGGGCCTCTTGTTTTATGTTTTTGCCTAATTGTTCGTTGAATGCTACCGGTTATCTAGAATATATTGTTACCTGACTCGCTATATAAATGCATATTAATCAATTTCGACTGTTTCCCAGACAATTCACCAAACGAACTATAGCTAATGTGTGCTACCGTAAAACTGTTGACTGGTCACCGTGAAACTGTTGACTGGTCACGTGAAACTGTTGACTGGTCACGTGAAACTGTTGACTGGATACGTGAAACTGTTGACTGGTCACGTGCAACTGTTGACTGGTCACATGTTAGGTAATCGAATGCACCTATAATTACGAGCACCCCGATGATCAAGCGTTTTTGGTACTGGATTGTTGACGGTTGTCTGTCGGTAGATCTAAACATCACATTCCACATAGATCTTTTTGGTTTTTCATTGGTCAAGTAACAAAACAGTTGTTTCATGCCTTTTCAGTCAACAGTCAAAACCATTTTCCCTCGGAGTTGGGACCCACCAAATGAACTTTTTCCCTCGGCCTGCGGCCTTGAGAAACAGTTCATCTGGAGGGTCCCAACTCCCCGGGAAAATAGTTTTGACTGTTGACTGATAAGGCATGAAACAACTGTATATTGTCTCACCATTCTCAGGAAGAATGTGTTCACTGTTTACACTGTAAAATTGTATTGATTCCATACTATTACTGTATTGTATTTTGAAGTTTTGAGAGTGTGTGGAATTTTACACTAGACATGGTGAGGTCACCATTTCCCAGTTTTGAGCTTGATATGTATTGGGCTGAAACAAAGTGAAATTTTAATGTATAAAAATATTTTATTCCACATTATGTTACAGTATTTCTGCCAGGTTGTAGACACGCTTCAAGTCACGTGTCATGTAATAATGAAAACGGTGGAATGATGTCATTTATTGTTGATAAACTGATGACGTTATTACAGCTGGATGGTTGGCTAGAAATCTTCTTTTCAGAAAAAATAAAAACAAAATACATCGCTTTCATCACAAAAAATTACACATGCTTTCACCAGCCCTTAGTTTTACAGAGGATTGTGGGACCAAGAACTTGTGATAGTTACCCCTAGATATCACATTGTTTGGAACAAAAGAAATCATCAAGTTTAGTATTTGTCAATGTGGTTGATATTTTTGTATTTATTTTAATCATTTTAGTTTTTGTGAATTATTTTGAAATAATAAAAAGAGAAAAATTGAATAAATTGTTTTGTTTTCCCATCCATTTTGCCCTTTTATCCATTTACTGTTGTGGGTTCTTTCTGAAATCATATACGTTGTTATTGAGAGGTGAGGGATTTACTTACAATAATGTATCATTGCTTTCAAGGTCACAGAGGTCAAATAGGTCAAACGCTTCAAACGACTTCTTCTGAAGAAATACAAGGTATAGAATCCTCATATTTGGCTGGTGGCTTTCTAGGATGGAGCCAGACAAAGTTTGAGAATGAAAATGGTTTTGACCTTCTTTTAAGGTCACAGGGGTCAAATTTGTAAAACGCTTTAAACGACTTCTTCTGAAGAAATGATAAGTTAAGAATCTTCATATTTTGCTGGTGGCTTCCTAGGATGGAGCCCGACAAAGTTTGAGAATGAAAATGACTTTGACCTATTTTCAATGTCACAGAGGTCAAATATGTCAAACTCTTAAAACGACTTCTTCTGAAGAAATAAAAGGTATAGCAGCTGGTGGCGTCCTGGGCTGAAGATCAACAAAGTATGAGAATGAAAATGACCTTGACTTTCTAGTCCCTGCAGGTAGGGCGTAAGAATTGTACCTGCTGCCCCCAATTACATGATCGTAAGAGGCGACTATATTTGGGACCTTATCTCTTCTCTCCTTTCTAAATAACTTTCTTCTTCCTAATGTCTCCCTTGACAATGCCTCACTTTTGGCCATTTGTTGAGCGTTCGCCCCTGTGAGGAAGGCTTTGGGTTCTGTCCCCTGGCCGAGACATACCAAAGTCTTTAAAAATGGTAGTTTCTACTCCTGCTTAACGCTCAGCAAATTAGGAGTGGGACGACTGGTTCGCCCGTTGTCAGTATAATGTGACCGGGTGGGGCGTCCTGCTGGGTGTCTTCGGCAGTATGTCTCAGTGAGGTAGCACTATAAAGTCGGCATCAGTTCCGCGCTATCACAAGGAGACTAACACGAACATATCGCAGCCTCCCAAAATACACACATACACTACACGCATGCATCTTGCACACAGGGGAGGCCGTCCTTAAATGACCTTAGCTGTTAATAGGACGTTAAACAAAATCAAACAAACATCAAACCAACAAACCTTGACATTCCTTCAAGGTCACAGCGGTCAAATATGTCAAACTCTTTAAACGACTTCCTCTGGAGAACTAAAAGGTATCTAATCTTCATATTTGGCTGAAGGTATCATGAGATAGAGCCAAACAAAGTTTGAGAATGAAAATGACCTTGACTTATTTTCAAGGTCACAGGGGTCAAATATGTCAAAAATCAAAAACATCAAATGACTTCTTCTGAATAATAGGGGGGCATATAATTATAATATTTGGCTGGTGACTTTCTGGGATAGAGCTCACCAAAGTTTGCGAATGAAAATTACCTCAACCTACTAAAGAATTTGTTCTTAAGAATGGATTCATAAGATTTATCTGGTAGCTTATTAGCTCATGGCATAGTGGGGCGTCCGTTGACCGTCCGGCGTCAACTTTTTACTTTAAACATCTTCTGAATAACCAAGAGGCCAAGGCTGATGATATTTTTCCAGTAACAGTCTGGGATAAAGGGCTACCAAGTTTGTTCAAATGAATGACCTTAATCCATATTCAAGGTCACATGGGTCAAATATGTTGAAATTTTTCAACAACTTCTTCTGAATAACCAAATGGTCTTGGGTGTTGATATTTGACCAGTAGCATGCTTTGATAAAGGGCTACCAAGTTGGTTCAAGTGAATGACCTTCACCCATATTCAAGTTCACAGGGGTCAAATATGTTGAAATCTTTAAAAAAACATCTTCTGAATAACCAATAGTCTCCGGGTGATGAGATTTGGCCAGTAATAGCAGGGATGAAGGGCTATCAAGTTTATTCAAACGAAAGACCTTCGTCTATATTCAAGGTCACAGTGGTCAATTATCTTAAAAGCCTTTAAACGAATTATTGTATAAAACCGAAAGGTCCAGGGTGATGATATTTGATCAGAAGGATGTTGGGATGATAGGTTACCAAGTTTGTTCAAATGAATGGCATTTTGCCCATACTCAAGGTCACAGGGGTCATTTGTCTTGAAAACCTCTAAACGACTTCTGTAGCATAACCAAAAGGTCCAGGGTGATGATATTTGGCCAGAAGGATGTTGGCATGAAGGGCTACAAAGTTTGTTCAAACAAATGACCTTCACTATTATTCAAGGTCAAAGGAGTCAATTGTCTTAAAAACCTTTAAACGACTTCTGTAGCGTGACCAAAAGGTCCAGGGTGATGATATTTTGCCAGAGGGATGTTGGTATGAAGGGCTACGAAGTTTGTTCAAACAAATGATCTTCACTTATATTCAAGGTCATTGGAGTCTATTG